CACACACACACACACACACACACACACACACACACACACACACACACCAGTCAGCGGTAGAGTGACGGGGGAGGGCGCGGCTAGCGGACCCGAGCCCTCTGGGCAGGCTGTGGCAGTCACAGCAATCTAAAGGCATTGGGGTCGAATACACTTACGATGAATCTAGGGGGACGGTCGGTCTGATTGCCTTTCAAATACCTCGAGTGGCTTCGTTGACCGGCACCCTCCAAACTCACAAGGGCACGCACGCTACTTGCAAGAATCCCAGAGGAGGGTGGGAGGGAGGGAGGAAAGGAGGGAGAAGAAGAGGGAGAGGGGTGGGGGAGAGCGAGCAGCCGCAGCAAGCGGTCCGTCTCGCACGCGCGGGCCCCGCGCTGGTACAGGGCTGCAGGTTTCCCAGATGATGGCATCCGAGAACTTAAACAAAGAGGGTCGCTGCCGGCGCGCGACGGCTGCACAAAGTTGCAGTGGCGGATTTCCAAGAAGCTTGGCGACCGGAGCTCTGGGCGAAGCAAGCCTCCCTTTCCCACCTCCGGCAAGACGGAGATGGGGGCTCGCGCGGGAAGGGAAGAGGAAACTTTGAAACCATTGGGGACACATCTGTCTATAGGTATTAGCTTGAACCGTACATCCGTGGCGCGCGCTTTACAAATCTCTGGCGTGGGGTGGGGGTGCAACACAACGCAGTCTAGGTAGAATGGATAGACTGCTGTTTTTCGTGATTTTTTTCCCCTCTTCATTTTCCTTCAAATCCCCTTCTTCCCCGCCTCCTCCTCCTTTTCTCTTCCCTTTCTCCTCAACCTCCCAGACCAATCACGAAGGCAGGGAGTCGCGGAGGGAACGCAGACGTTTGGGCCGGACACTAAGAGTTAAGATGTGGCGGATGGGGGGGGGGGCAGGGGCGGCGGGGGAGGGGCGGGGTGGGGAAAGTGGCGCGGGGGAGGGAGGCTGGGGGAAGACAGATTTCCAGCTTCTACGACGCTCTGCCTAAATTAAAAAGCAACCAATCGGAACGGCCGGAAGGGGGGCCGCGCGTCCTAAGCCAGTCATTCCAGGCCTGCCAATCACCCAGCGGGTAGCCAATCAGCGGGGGCCCTGGTGCTCGACTTCCTTGTATTTGGGAAAGTGTGGTGGTGGGTGCGCGCTTGCGGCGGAGGGTAAACATTCGACAGTCCCTGCTCTGAGAGGGAGGGACAGGGAGAGAACTGTCAGATCCTAGCGAGAGCGGGCGCTCGTGAGAGGGAGAGAGAGAGGGAGAGGGAAAGTGAGACAGGGAGAAAGAGAGAACCCGGGCGCAGAGCTAGCTCCGGCTGCAACTCTGCCCCGGCACGCCCGCGCCCGCGCCCGCCGTCGGGCACTCTAGGAGCGGTACAACGTGCCCACAGGAGTTGGTTGTGTATCAAGGATCCCCTGTATGCACACACACATCTCCATCTCCACCAATGCACTCTTCTTCTTCCTCCTTCTCCAGACAACTGCCGGGGGAAAAATAAAACACCAACCCCAACCTTCAGCAACAAGGTAACAGAGCAATTCGACATTTTTTTTTTCCTGTTCAATTTTTGCCTTGTTATATTTGTTTCCTAATTTCTGCCCAAAAGGAAAGATGTCGCACCAGACCGTGACTGTTGCGAGGAAAATGAAAAGGGACTCTTGTTTCAGAGTCATCCAAGAGCTCCGGCAATAGCAACTTCAGAGAAATGCACCATCGCAAGAAGTTTTTCTAGGACAGAACAAAACTTGAAAGGAGAGGACCAGAGGGGGAGAACAGGAGTCAGCCTCCCCACTCCGCAGACGCGAGCCGCCAGTATCACCACGCCAGTAAGGACCGGAAAAGTTTTACTATGCTAAGGGGGAAACAGTGAAATGTCTTGCTGAAGAGGAGAGAAGCCAGCGGACCAGCAAGGAGCGGCCCGATTGCTGGCCACCCACAATTTGGCCGAAGAAGAAAGGAACCGTTTCGTCCTTTGTTGTCTCGCGTGAAACCTTTGCTTAGCAGGTGTACGGAGCCCCGCGCCGGGGCAGAGTCCGCACCCGCCCGAGGACGAGGACAGGAGGAACAACCGGAGTCCCTGCGCCCGGAGAGAGCGCCCGAAGTACGGGTCCCCGCCCCACTGGGCAAGCCTTGCTGGAGCGAGCCGATTGCTCCCGGCCAGGGGGGAGACCACGACCCCCCCTGAAGGGGCTGGCCACGGAGCTCACCCCGAGAAGCGATCCCCCCTCCCCAGGGCGCTGCTCCTGCTGCGGCTGCTGCAGCGTCTGCTGCT